TCTTTTCAGCTGTAGCTAAACCACATTTAAGCAATTCTCTTGAAGATCATTAAAACTGTATCAGAAAGCTTCTCACATATTATAGAATAAATTATATTTAGTGTAGTTGCTAGGCCTATGACTAAAAACTGTCCATAACAAGTACAACCATTCTCCCCTGTTTGTGTTCCTCAGCTTTATTTTATTTTATGTCATTTGTTTTTATAGCTTTATATAAAGTTAAACTTAACACATTAGATTTAAGATTTATCTTCATTAGAACTGTACAAAGGACTTTTGTCTATGTTGACAAAAAGGCTAATGGTGTCTCACTTTGGTCTCCCTCTTGCTAGCAATAAGAAGATTAAACAACATTACGAGCATTATCCTAAAGAAACTTGAGTTGACTAAAACTGAAATAGTTTGAATTCAATGTTTCCATTGTCTAAGTCCTATTCTCTTCTGTCATCTCTCTGTAGGTCCGACTGGGACTGATGACTGTAGACTACCTAAGGGACAATGTGCGGCTCAATCAGTTGGTGCGGACCAGTTCTGACCGTCTGTCCATGATAAAGGGTGCCGTTATATTACCACAAAATATGACCAACAGACCCCATGTGTTTCGCCTCTGTCCCCATCTTGCTCGTCCCCGCCTGCCTCATTCCGTCCTGCTGGCCATTGGGGGATGGAGTGACCGTGATCCAACTAACGCCATCGAGGCCTATGATTACCGGGCTGAATGCTGGGTCAATGTAACAAACAACCTGGAGAGTCCTCGTGCCTATCATGGAGCCGCCTTCCTCAACGGGTACGTCTACTCCATTGGTGGCTTCGACAGGGTTGAGCACTGCAACAGTGTCCGTAGGTTTGACCTGACCACTCGCACCTGGAATGAGGTGGCACCCATGTACTGCCGCCGCTGCTATGTGAGCGTGACTGTGTTGAACGGGTTCATCTATGCCATGGGAGGCTACGATGGGCATGTACGACTCAGCAGTGCAGAGCGCTATCAACCTGAAATCAACCAGTGGAGTCTTATTGCATCCATGCATGAACAGAGGAGCGATGCCAGCTGCACAACACTTCACAGCCGGGTGGGTAAAGCAAAAGAACAGGAGAGAAATAGAGTAGGGTCTCAGGCACACAGGCCTAGAGACCTGTCAGCAACCTTTTGGTAACAACCAGTTGCTAGTGAAAAATATGTATTCCTCAGCTGGTTAGGGAGTGGTTGTATGAAAAAAACTGACTTCTACAAATAGTTTGTGAGTGTTTGCAGACAAGTCAGAGTATTCCATGCAAACCTCGGGTGTGCTCAACAGTCTGCTAATGACCAAAGCAAACACAAGGAGGTTTGTGGTGCAACACCTTTCTTCAATTTCACACTAGTGACACCCATCAACCTCCAGCTACCACTTGCCAACCAGTCAGGGAATACACATTTTATACAGTGAAACGAGGTGCAAGATAGGTCACAAACTGGTTTCTAAGCTAGAGTGATGAAGGCCTAAATTGAACAAAACTACACCTGTAAAACTACCTGTATGCCTGTAATAGTGATGATAAGGAAAACAAAAGTAATTAAAAGAATTAGCTTTTTTTAATTTTTGAAAGGCAGGGACATAAACTCTTAAAAAGTTGAAATATATACTAATGTCCGTTTTTTTTTTTTCGTTGTCTTCAGATTTACATTTGTGGTGGAATCAATGGGAACGAGTGTCTGCAGACAGCTGAATGTTACAACCCAGAGACCGACCAGTGGACGATGATCAGTCCCATGAACAGCCGCCGCAG